GGGGGGGGGGTGAAACAGCCTGGGAAGGTGCAGAGCAGGGGCTTGAACATATCTTGGCTCCAGATCTTGAGGAAGTTTCCCAAACACACAGGAAAGAATGGTGCCATTGGGCCTGGGTTGTTCCCGGCCCCATGGTGTTGTGACAGCTGGCTGAGCACCCAGCAGAGGAGGGGAGGTCGGGCACGCTGGGGTCCCTCGGGTGTGATGGGTATTTCTCAGGCAGGGTATGGTGTCTCCCACCCAGCTCTGCTGTGGGACAGTGCTGCCTCCTGATCAGTACCCCCGCTTGGGGACAGGTTTGGGGCTGAGACCGGGACCTGCCGGGCCATGTGTGCCCAGTGCTCACCAGCGTGGGCTCTGTGAGGGAGGTGCCTTCTGCTTCCATTTCTCACCCTGCCCGTCTCTTGTTCTCCGGGTTCCAGGCTCAGTGTCAGTCTCGGTCTCTGTCTGTGTCCTCTCTGCTTCTCTTCGTCTGTCCTCTCCTGCCTTCCTCCTCAGGCTGTCACCTGTTGGTTTGGTAGCCTTTAGAGTTGTCAAGTGTCAGTGCCCCTGGCATGTTGGGGCAGCCCACTTCCCACTGTGTAGACGGCATTCATGGCTGTGACCCTGGACTGTGCGCTTGCTCTGTGAGTGTCTCTGTCAGCCTCCAAGGGTCAGCGGCAGGGGCTGTGAGCGCCCCTTTCCAGGGAGGACCGCAAGCCTACAACGTGCTCATGGCATCCCAGAGCGCGCCGTTTCTGTGGCTCCAGGCGTTGATATATCTTGTTCTCATTGTCCTGGGACAGTAATGCCCAGTGAGGTCAGAGATTTGGGGTGATGATGTCACACCCTCCACCCAGCATGGTCTCCTTAGGCTTGGAGGTTGCTGTTTCCCGCCTCCTGACCACCTCTGGGCTCTGCCCCCTGCCTGTGGGGATCTCCTCTTTCTTTGAAGGAAGAGAGGCCCCTGGAGGTTCCCAGAAACCTAGCAGCAGAGGTGGGGCTAAGCCACGCCCACCCGCTGTTACAGGCGCTCCCACACTGGGCTCAGGTGTGTCACCTCCTGCCAAGGTCTGTGCTCATCCGCCCACAGAGGGCCACCCCAGGACCCAGGCAGGCCAGGAATGGTGATGTCTGTGTGGGGGAAATGACGGAGGAGCCTGGCCAGGCCACACCCTCTTTGTGTCCTCCCTGGACTCTAAATATAGACCACAAAAGGCAGACAGACAGGGTAACCTTGACCTTCCAAGAGAGGTAACAGCTTTTCCACCAAGGCCTGACCTGGAACCTGGCCTCTGGTCCTCACTGGGCTACCCGCTTCCTTCGTGCGTTTGGCCAAGCCCAGGTTGGAGGAGGTGAGGCCAAGGCCTGTGGTTACCCTGACATTGCCTTGAGCCCAGTTCTTGCTCTGAGCCACTACACACCTGGCAGACCTTCCAAGAGCTGCCCAGAGGGCCCTGTGATTCACCCATCGGGGGGAGGGGGAGGCGGGAAGTATGGGCGAGGCGGAGGAGATGATGGCTGGAAGCCCTGGGGATTGGTGCAGTTCTGTGTGAGCCTGGTTGGGTGTGGCCAGAGAGACCCAGAAATGCAGTTTGTGCCTCACCTAGCAGTTGGTCTTCTGCCTGAGGATGTGCGGGGCGAGGTGGGGGGGAGCTTTTGAAGGGTGAAGACTTCTCTGGCTAACTTATGTTAAGGGGACCATGGTGGGATGAAAGTTGGAAGGAAAAGGGGCCCCAGGTTTGGCCTGAGCACGCCTTTCCCTTAAACAGGAGGTGGCTGTTCAGGGGCCCTCTAAGCCAGGGAGTGATGGAAGGCCCAGTGGGGCCTGTGGCAAACCCAGACATGCCCTGACTGGAGGGGACAGCTGCTGGTCAGCTCCCTCCCAGCCTCCTGTTGCTTATGGGAACACAGACCTTGTGTGGCCAGGTCACCTGAAGTTACAGGAAAAGCCAGAAACGTGGATTTTTATGTGAAATCACCTGACCTTTCACGGTTGGCTCAAAAATTGAAAAACATTTTGCTAGCCAAACAAAATGCACGTGTGGGCTGGGTTTGGTCTGGGCCTTGTGCCTGGCTGTCTGTTCAAAGCCTGTCTTTGGAGCATCCTCTGTGAGCACCATCCCACATGTGGGACGGCCCGTACAGCATAGTGGTGTACTCAGGGGTTTCTCATGACGGCCAAGGAAGGGTAGGTGCACTCCACAGGGAAAGGCTGGGAACCTGGGACAGCTGGGGTCGGGGCGCACCGTGAGCACAAGGAGGAAAGGAGTGATGCCAGGTTAAAATAATCCCATGGGTCCTACAGTGCTCTGTGCTGTTCCTCCCAGCAGCCCCTTCCACGAGACGTGCTCTGCCTGTGCGGTCTTGTTAGTTATGCCCCTTCACACAGGAGAATGCTTGAAGGTGAGGTGACCTGCTTGGGGAATGGGGTCACACAGTAAGAAAGGGATGGGGCTGGATTCAAACCCAGCCTTTCAGTGCCTGAGCCTCTCTATGCCACACTGCCACCCTGGGAACTAGGTGTGTGTGCGTGTGTGTGTGTGTGTGTGTGCATGCATGTGTGCACACAGCTGAGCCATGAGCAGGCTTACCGGGACCCCAGAGGGGAGTCCCAAAGCGAGGGCATGTGTAGTGATGAAACTGCCCACGTCTCCCCTCCCCCACTTACCTGACACCCAGGACCTTCAAAGCCAGAGAGGTGGTGGCGTTGGGTGCACTCCCCTGTGCACTCATGAATTACATGGTCTCTGGGGGCCCTTTTCCCAGCTGTAAAATGGGCCTGAGTTTGTTTCCCAGGCCCCTCCCTGGGAGAGAAAGTACGCCCCCGGCTGGTGCTGGATTCATTTGGCAAGTTCTGAGAGCTTGGCCCCAGGAGAAGGGCTGGGAGGAGAAACTTTGAGCCAGAGGGCAGCGTCAGCTGTCCTGGTCACCCCCTGGTTGCTCTTTGAGGTCATCCTTCTAAATGTACCCTACCCACCTCACCCTCCCCAGGGTCAGGTCATGGAACCTTCCTAACCCCCTTCCTAGGGACCTCCATGCCAAATCCAATCTACACATCTTGCTTAAAAACAAACAAAAACAGCATTTATTACATGTGCGATTATAAAACAATTTTAGAAATAGAAAATTCAGACAAGTGAGAAGGAAAACTGTAGTAGAGTCCAGAATAACCACCAGGACTTGAAGAGTAGGGCCCTCTCTTATAGGACCAAGGTTTCCATAAACATGCTCTTATAGGAATCCATGTCCACATCTTGGCTGCCACCTGAGGGTGAATTCCTAAGAGTGGGATTACCAGGCCAAAGGGCATAGTGTTTTTAATGTGCTTAATAGAATCCCAAATTGTTTTCCACCCTCACTGTCCCTGGGTGCTTAGGTGGGCACACAGTGGGAGCTTGCTGGGGCCCTACTGTCCGTGGATATCTGAGGCTTAGCACACGGTGGGTGTGCAACATATGCTGTGGTTATGTGTAGTGTGGTCCTGCCTTCTTGTTTTACAGGTGGGAAACGGAGGCCTAATGGCATGGGACCGGTTCTGGGGACGTTGGTGGCATTGGCAGGGCTGCTAACAGTGATTATGGGCCTCAGTGAGGGTTGAGGCCTGACGCCCGAGGCCCCAGCATTGGGTTAGGTGTGTGTGTGGCGGGGGGGGGAGGAAGGGGGATCTGTTCATTTATCCATCTACAGACACTCTCTAGGTAACCTCCAGGATCCTTCTTCCCACCCCACTGGTTTCTAGAAAGCATAGAAGGCTCCCGAGCCCTGCTGCCTCCCCAGCCCTCAGCAGCCTCACTTCCTCCCTCACCTGTACCTGAGGACACAAGTGGTCCCAGCTGACAAGGCCAGTGGCAGGTGCCCCAGCGGGTATTTGTACTTCTTGATCTCTTACCCTTGAAGGCCTTTATCCCTCAGCCCAGTGATGCCTGGTCTCCTTTCTCCCCTCACCTCCCTGACTGCTCCTCCTCAGGTAGCAGAAAGGAGATAGTAAGGCAAAGGCCCCTCTCCGCACACCAAACACACACCCCAACACTCAGGCCTTCCAGATGCACATGGGCACCAAAGACAGGACCGTGGTTCCAGGACTCAGGAGCTCACAACAGGGCCCAGGCGCCAGCTGAGTGCTGTTGGTCAGTAACCCGGTGGAATCCTCTCAGATGAAGAAACTGAGGCTCAGAGAGGTTAAGCAACTTGTCCAAGGCCACAGAGCTAGGGAGGGGCTTAACTGGAATTGTGGGAGGTGGGTCTGACTCCAGGGCCTCTGACTCCACGCGTACACAAGTCACACACCTACCCAGCACACACTGCGCGAGCGCACGAACCCACGCAAAGTGCCTAATCGCGGTGGCCGCAGCCCCAATACACACCCAACGCCCGTTCCCCGAAGCACACGCGCAGCCGGGAGGCTCGCGGGCGCCCCG